CATTATTTTCAGATTCTGTATTTGTGAATTCAGCCACTCACTAAAATTTACTTGTAACCCCCAAAACCAGTACTCCTGGTGCTTTTGCAGATACACAGCACTGAAAAATTTAACTTTTGACCCGTGTTTTTCAGAGGAGATGCAACAAAATGAAGCTCTGCATTCTTATTTCAGCTCTCATATAGATGAGAGACAGTACGAGGTTAAGGAGACAGTATGAGACAGTACAGCATAGGGTGATAAACTGGTTCTGGAGCCAGTTGGACAGGGTTTAAATCCCAATTCTGACACTTACTAGTGGGGCAGCCTCAGAAGAATCACTTGATACTTCTGAATTTTTTCTGAACAATTTTTTTTAAAACACAACAGAATTGACCAGGGGAGCTCAGTCAGCCACTGGGTGGCTCAGTTGAGCATCCAACTTCAGCTCAGGTCATGATCTCGCGGTCCATGAGTTTGAGCCCCGCATCAGGCTTTGTGCTTGACAGCTAAGAGCCTGGTGTCTGCTTTGGATTCTTTGTCTCCCTCTCTCTCTGCACCTCCCCCACTAGCACTCTGTCTCTCTCTCTCTCAAAAATAAACATTAAAAAAAAAAAAAAATTGACCAGGATGAGTTGTTTCCAGGATTTAAAATTTTAATCTATGTGAGATCTGAGTATGTATATGTATGTACGTTTTCCCTATGAGTAACGGTTTAATATTCACTAATTCATTGTTCACGTTGACTTTTTAGAACATCACTGTAAAGAAGAATCATTTGTTCATTATGTATATTTGATAGCCTGATGGAAATGGCAAATTCTGTTCCAAAGGATTATACCAATTTATATCGGAACAATCTTGGATTATTTCATACAGCTTTTTCAGTATTCCACCACATATTCTTGTTACTACTGTGTATGAGCTATCATGTAGGAGTTGTAACAGATACTATGCTAAGTGCTTTAACAAGGATTTCATAACTTTGATAACCCTGTGTGGTGGGTACCATTGTCTTCATTTCACCTGTGATCTTTACCTTAAAGAGGCTAACATGGTCACAACAGCTAGAAAGTGAGAGAAGTAGGATGAAACCTAAATCTGAAACTCCAAAGCCCCTCACTGTTCTCTGCTATTGATGACAGAAACTGTATTACTGCCAAGAAGCAACTAAAAATAGTCAAGTCAGTCTCTCTCAACAGGATCTCTTAAATTTTTTTTTTAATGTTTATTTTTGAGAAAGAGCATGAGCAGGAAGAAGGGCTGAGAGAGGAGACACAGAATCTGAAGCAGGCTCTAGGCTGAGCAGTCAGCACAGAGCCCAGTGTGGGGCTCAAACCCACAAGCTGTAGGATCGTGACCTGAGCCGAAGCTGGACATTTACCCGACAAGCCACCCAGGTGCCCCACAACAGGATCTCTTATCGCAGCCAGCTTAGTGTACTAGACTAGCACAGTACCAAAGACTTGTTAATACTGTTGACATTAGGCTAGTTCTCTCTAAACCTCACTTTCCTGAGAGGAAATTTCTGAACCCTATATTCTTCATCTATTTAAAGAAGATAGATAAGGATACCTGTTCTATTTCAAAGACTGTTAAGGTTCAAAATCAAACCAAAACTGTCTTGGCAATCCTAAAGCACTATTTAAATACAAAGTAGCAACAAGAATATGTGGGAGAATATTGAAAAAGTTGTATGAAATAGTCAAGTATTGTTATTAATTGGTATAATCCTTTAGAACAGAATTCACCATTTCTATCAAGCTATCAAATATCATTAAGCTAACTTTCAGGAAGTGCTATACATAATAATCACTTTTGCTGCACTATTTCATTACTAATCTTTGTAACATATAGCATCCCGGTGATTAAGAACCAATTCTATAAAAAATCATTAGCACTTTCTACAAAGGTGAGTGAAATTTTGAAAAATATTTTGCTCTGCTTTCCAAATTAATATGGGTTCTGCTAACTATTCCCAAAGGAAAGGATGAGGAAAATATTTCCTGCCTTCAACTTATAATTAGGGGACCATTCCAAATGATCCTTAACAGAAATATGCTTCCTATCTCATTCATGAAAATGTCAACTGCCCATTATATTTTCAAACTTGAGCATTACTTTTAAAATTTTACCCTTCAATGGCTGCAAAATATGACCTATGTAGTGTTTAAAGAAAATGGTTCTAGCAAAGAGGGCAATTAAATAAATCCTACATGTCCCCTGATTCTCATTATAAAATTAGAGATATGTTAACTCCAGGTGAGGGGGGTGGTAAGAATCTAATAAATTAAAGCCTTTGTGCTCTATTTGTGTACTTAATGTTTTCCAACCACGGTATTTAGGGTGTATTATTCCACACTGCCTACCAAGTTTTTCATGTAGTAATTACACAGTAAATGTGTATTGACCGATACGGAACAGCCAGTACTGTTGGATATCGGGAGCCTTGGCCAATACCCAACTTGGGTTAGAGCCCCTTCCCTAACAAACAGTCTACTTACTCTTTTGCTGTACTTTGAGTACCTAACAATTTTTCCTGGCTCTATATTTTTTCTCTGGAAAATAATTTCTCCCATGTAAAAATTAAACTGATTCTACACATTTAATACCTAGCATATTCCTTTTCTCTTGGTCTGCTACAGAATTACCTGAGAGGTAGCATTACAGTATTCACATCCTGAAAAGTGTTCCAGTCATAAAACGCCATATTTTTCCAGGTTCTGGTTTCATAAGTTTTCTACTTATGTTCTCTAAAATAAATCCTTTGTCAGAGTGGGGAAAAGTGGAGTCTAATTTTTAAAATTTTTTTGGCAGATCTTGATCAACTAACGGAAAAGGTAAAAGATTTAGAGACACAGCTCAAAACCTCAGATATAGAAAAGCAGTATTTGAAGGTAATTAATTTTATCAAATTATAATATTATAAATGTTTTGTGAAAATAGCTGTTAAAAACAAATTTTATGAACACTATGAGTTTTAAGTATGCATCCTAAAAACTCCTGGGGTTACGTAATATACTTAATATTTTGACCTTAACATTTCAGAGTTCATTATATTTATCGATGTTAAAAATACTGAAGAGCTACAAAAAAAAAAAGACAAAACAAATAGGATTAAAGAGTAAATTTATTTTTTAATTTTCACAAATATAGCTCATTATTTTAATATATTTTCTTAAGTTTTGGGTCACACTGGGAACAGTGCCTTTTATTTCCTTTTGAAATTCTTTTCAAGAATAGCTCCCTTAAAGAAAGATACTTGCTATGCTTTATCTCTTAAAGAATCTATAAACAGAACGAGAGAGCATGAATTGGAGAATTAACTAGTAATCACTGGCTATTCTAAATGGTCACTAAAGTTCAAATGGTCCCTTTACCAGAGGCCTCTTATCCAGGTAGAAGTTCTAGAGTTTCCCTAATCCTAAATATATATATATATACACACACATACACATATATATATGAAGTCGACTATTAAAAAAAATAGGTATTTGTAAAAATATAAATGAAGCCTAAACCAAAGAATCTTAACCAACATAACTTGTGTAGTGAATAGCCAAGTCTTTGATTACCTCAGTGAGAGTATCTGATATGCTTTTGGATAAAGATTAAATATCCACCCCCTACACACACAATTTAAGAAGTGATAAATTCCAAAGACTAGGACATAATTTACAGAACAGTTTGATTTGCCAGTTAACAAGTTTGTTACTTAAAACCTTGTACAGTGATACCTTATTAACAGAATCCTAAGAAAATACTTCTGCCTATATAGTTTCTATTTGATTGTTCAAGTTACTTTGGATTTTATGTTTGCAATTACATCTCTTTAGTTCAAACCTAAAGAATGTATTTTATTCCTACCTATATCTTTTAAAGTTATCATGTTTCTATTAGGAGGAAATAAAAAAGCTGAAAAAAGAACTGGAAAACTTTGATCCTTCATTTTTTGAAGAAATTGAAGATCTGAAGTATAATTATAAAGAAGAAGTGAAAAAGAATATTCTCTTAGAAGAGAAGTTAAAAAAACTTTCTGAACAATTTGGAGTTGAATTAAGCAGTCCCGTTGCTGCTTCTGAACAGTCTGAAGATGAAGAGGAAAGTCCTGCTAATTTCCCCATTTATTAAGGACCACCTATAACTGTAGTTTTATTTATTTATTAACTTTGTAAGTTAAAACTCCATCAGGAAATCAAGTCTCTGACCTACATGATTTCCATCTCCATATCCTGTACCTTGGAAGTTTTAGTAAAATTTACTAGATATCCAATTTAAAATTAAATTGGAAATTTACTAAAATTTAGTGAATTTTAAATTTAGTAATTTAAAATATGAAATTTTAAACATTAGAAAAGTATATTTTTGAAGATTTTTAAATTATGTCTATCAAATGAGCTATGATGAGTTTCTGTACATTCATAATATTTTTTTAAAGAGTATGAGGGTGAACTTTAATAATTTTGACATTTAAAATTGGACTTTTACATATATTTACATACTTATATGTGTTAAGACTAATTTTATATATATGTACATGTATATAAACATGTTATGAGGTTACAGCTATATGTTTTGTTAAGTGTCTAGTAAGATTAAATTGTTTTTTAAATTCTTTAATCCTCAAAATTAATGATCCAGAATTGTTTAACTGTTTTTAAATTACTACCCAGTAATGGTAGAATCCAACCTTTGTACAAGGTGGGAGATTACTATTACATTTTTTTAAGTTTAGTGGTTGAAATTCATTTGCTGCTTCTAAATAAAATCTTGAATAGACATTTGCAACTGGGAAATTCATTTCCTGAAATGCTAGAAGATGTATTGCTATATTAGACACTGAACCTTGAGATTTTTTACCTTCCCCACATGGCAGAATATTCAAGGTTTAAATATAATAAAACTGTTTTTTAATTGCATTTCTAGTTTATACATCAAGTATGATATCTCTGAGTCTGCCAAATTTCTGATTATCTATTTTTGAAAGAAGATTAAACAAACTCTTAGTATCAAAGGCATGGTCATACTTGTTCAGGTTCATGTTGATAATAACGGGTTTTGAATTCATGTAGGTATCTGGAATTGGCCAGCATAAACCAAGATGATGGCGATGAACCTAAAAAGAGAAAAAAGGGTATTTAGATTTTAGATTTTATTACCTTCATTCACTTACAAATATTTGAGTGCCCACCATCTGCCAGGCACTATTTAAGGCTCCACTTTCTTACCCTTTTTTTTTCATAGCTGTTCTTCTCCTGACATATTATATATTTACGTGTTACTGTCTATCTTCCCCATTAGACTGTGAGCTTCATGAAGGCACAGACATTGTTTTGTTGACTCTGTATTTCCAGCACCTGGAAACCTGCCAGGAACATAATCAGGGGCTCCATAAAAATATAATGGAGTCTGTTGCTGAGTGCAGAAGCTAGCCAATTGAAAAATATGGGCGGAGAGGCATTCTAAATATCATGGGATAGAATGGTGCTTTTTGCTCTGATTGCAGTTACTTACTTAAGTATGGTTAGGGCATATACAGTATGGGTATGCTTGGCAGCTGGGGGTGTACAAGCAGTTCCAGAAAGTGAAGCAAGGGTCCTGTCATGAATAATCTTTATGCCACTAAGCAGTTTTATGTAGCAAAGTAACATTTTCACTTACTGTGAAGAATGGACAGAAAAGGGAGAAGACTGAAAGATAACATTTAGGAGGGTGATATAGTAAATCAAGCATGAATTTTGGCTTAACTTAAAATTAAATGCCAACTGGTTGGGGAGAAGTATATATTCAATAGATCAGAATCTTTAAGAAATAATTGTATGTAATGGAGAGAGGGGTTAAAACTGCTATCTAATGTTTTGAATTGCTGGGAGTTGGGGTTGGTATGACGAAGGTCCAGTTTTGAACATTACTAATTTCAGGAACCTGTCTGAAATCGAGTAGACAAATCCAAGAGACAGAAAGGGCACAAAGTATAAACAAATTGATTCTGTAAATATTAACTGTCACCCTGGCACTTTTAACTCAAATTCTATAATCAAGTTTGGGAAATGTGGAGTCAAACTATGCTGATTATCTCAGAGAGCATTCATGTGCAACATCCACAAGAAGGGAATATGTAATGTGCAGTTTTTCCAGACATTTTCATCACCTTAATTCTGAAGGCTATGTAGGACAACCAAAGCCCCAGAGAATGAATGCACATTGGGAAACATTATTTTATCATATAAAGAATGGTGGCATGTGAGATGAGGAAATTAAATTTCTTTACAACACATTAGAATTAACTGCAATTTGTACAGAGTATTCTCGTGCCACTTCTACTTTGTTTTAGGAACAAGACGAAATAATCCCACAAGCTATTTTTTGCCATTACCTTGATTAAACAGCCATCATTGCAATGCCATACTATTCCTTCAATTTTACCCTCTCTGCAACCTTCAAACCAGGATAATAGATCATTGTGCTTCAAGGTTGGTAGATTTCTTATTTGAAATGCCCCATGTGGTATAAGAAGATGTAATGGATGCTTCTTGCTTCCTAACCCTAAATGGTAAAAATTTCCATTAGGCACATAAAGGTTTCAAAAAGAAATGAGAACATTTACTTCTCCAAATAAAAAAAGCCTTTTAAAGCCTTTTAAAACATTTAGGAATAAATTTACCAAAAAGTTTAGTTGGTTTCCTGGAAGAGAGATATACCACAAGTGATCTCATTCAGAAGTGTCACCTTACCTCATTAAATCTAAATTTCACCTTCATATACTCTACACTAGGGGTCAGCAAGCTATGACCTGTGGGCCAAATCCAACCGAACACCTGTTTTCGTAGTTTCAGTGGAACAGTTATACCCATTTTTTTTTTAAGCATTATATTTATTAACATAATTCCATTTGTTGTTTTTTTTTTTAATTTTTTTTAACATGTATTTATTTTTGAGACAGAGAGAGACAGAGCATCAACGGGGGAGGGTCAGAGAGAGGGAGACACAGAATTTGAAACAGGCTCCAGGCTCTGAGCTGTCAGCACAGAGCCCGACGCGGGGCTCGAACTCACGGACCATGAGATCATGACCTGAGCCGAAGTCAGCCGCTTAACCGACTGAGCCACCCAGGCGCCCCTATACCCATTCTTTTAAGTACTGTTTATGGCCTTGTTTCAGAGGTATAGCCTACAGAACCTAAGTATTTATTATCTGTACTTTTACAGACGTCTGCCAACCCCTTCTCTATACCATTAGCCAAGTTCACTTATCATTCAATGTTTGCCAAACAGCCACACTGGATCTCTGGTAACTTGTATAATTACTATCGTAACTTCTTTATACCTGCCAATCAGTCAGCTTCTGATCTCTATACAGGATTTTCCTATTCCAGCTTTAATGTCCTTGAATCCAGCTTCATCTGCCTATCAACAATGTACTCCCCAGTGCCCTCTGGACTTCGACTCCATTCATCATAGTACAGATTCTAATGCTCATTATGCTATTCAGTGTCAATTCTTTAATTTATTCTTAGCTATTAATACTAATTACCTAGCCATGAAAAACACAATTTTCATTCAACTCAGTTCACATAAATTTTAAAAAACAAAAAGTTACACTTGAATAATTACCTTTCATAAATAGCTCTATAGTGTTATCATAGGAAAGAATGAGAAGTTAATTCAACCTTTTGAATTAATGGTTAGAGTCATGAATAAATTTCTCCATGGACATAAATAGAAATGGCTATAATTCTCAAGGCTATTTAACTCTTATTAGTCATTTCCTTAGGGTGTGTGTTTTAAGTTGAACCCAGGAAGTTCTTTATAAGTGACAGTTACTGTAACTAAATAGGAAAAGGCTTCACTCACCATATGGGTTTCCATTAATATTTGTTCCGATAAGCTCTAGTGTTTGTTCTAGGAGATCTGATAGCGGCACTGCACTAATTTCCAAAAGACCAGGATCATCAGGATGATGCTTCAGTACCAGGGCAACTTCAAATTCATAATTAACTACAGAGGAATGCCAGCAATACTGTTTGTTGTTTTTCTCCACTGGTACCCAACCTATCAGGCAAAGAAAACACTATTACTACATTGCTGTTCTTTGGATTTAGACGTGAGGTAATTTTTACTTTTGTTGTAAATTCTCAATGTTTTTTGGATGTTTATCACACACAGATTATCATTTTTTAATCAGTGATAATGTTAACAGTTTTACTACTCAATCACAATCATTTTTTAATAATAAGGTTTTTTTTTTATTCTGTTGAGGAATTAACCTGTTTGGTGTTTCAGTACAGAGCACTCAGCATTCCTTTACCAGAAAATTTACCTTTTCCAGAACTGAAACTTACTTATTTTTTTAAGATTTCTCTCCACTTTATCTCCAGTTTCAAGGACAACAGACCATGTATTAAGTGTTCCACAGTTCACTGCACTGTTCCAATATTTACTGAATAATGTATTGATTCCACATGTATTGAACGTTATTGCTATTCCTCACCCAACTCCTGTTACCAGAATAGGATCCTTCATTGTGGACAATTCTTTATCAAACAATCACTAGGCTACATATGCCATTGTGACCGTCCTATCTTTGGCCTTCAGTAGTCATTCAGGTGACTATAATAATCTTTACTGGTCCATTAGTCTCCAGGGAAACCCAACCTACTTTTATCATAATCCTGCTTTAAAAATTTAAATTTAGTTCTGCTGCACCCCTGCTTAACAATCAACTTCAGGATGAACTTCAAACTCCTTTAAATGAAATATAAATCCCTTTAAGATCTGAGCCCATTCCACATCTCCAGCCTCAACTTTTATAATGTCCTCCAGGGTCATACACCCTAAACATTCCAGCCACAGAGAAGCATTACATAAAACTTCCAAGACTCCAAATCTCTGCTCTTCATGGGAGTTTGCCTAAGCTGACCTTCTCTCTTCCCTGCCAGCTAACTTCCTGGTTCCTAAGCTTCAGTACACAAGTCCTCTCCCCTTAGAAGCCTCCTCTAAACACCACAGGCTGATCTAGAGTTCTTCCTGTTTTCTCTGACTATACCCTGTGGATGCTTTCCTTTTAGTTCTTAAATCAGACCAATATTGCATTTCCTCTGGTGTCTAAAAGATCAAGGTTCTGATCTTCATTTTTGTATTACTAGAACCTGAGTATTCTGCACATTATAGGTACTCAAGACATGCCTGCTGAACTAAACCTTAATCTGGGGTATCTTTCCATTCAGCACACTTTTGCAAAAATTTTCGCATCCCCAGAAACTATAGGTAGCAAACTAACTCAGAGAAGATTCTAAACCTGTGAGGACATTTTTAATATAAAACATCTTTATAGATTATTAATATAAGTTAGATTCAGAAATTTTGTGTTATACAAATACTATAAAGAACCAGATTAAAATTAAATTATGCAATTTCTGGATCTTTTGTTCTTTTTACAAGTAAAAACAAAAGCACATTTTAGAAAAGTTTTCATGATACCAGGAATGTGTCCATTTTCATCAGGCATCGGATTCCCATTTAATTGTTCTATTTCCTTCGCTGGTATCCAGCACTCTGGAACAGGTTTGAAGTCCTCCTCAACATTCCAAAAAAATTCTAAAATAGTTCAATAATTTTATATGTGGTGATGCTTTAAAAAAAAAATTAAAAAGACTGAATAAATTCAACGTGGGAACAGGTAGTAAACCCCATTCAGGTATCATAATTATTCTCCATCATCAACACCATGTGACTGCACTTCTCAGGGTTAGAGTATACTAGCACTTTAAATTTTCAATTTTGAACCCACCACCATAAGTAAATAGTGCATAAAACTCTAAAGTAGCCAATGTTCCAGTATGTGTAGATTTATATAAATTTTTAATACACTATAAGTGTGTATATATAAATATATACATGAAAGAGTGGATATATAATGATTAATGTATGTATCTACTTATAAAATACTTAGAGGCATTTTAACATAATTAAAAATACTGATAATCCTTTGAGATTTGTGCCTGATTTATAAAATTATGGACTTCTCTCTTAGATAACAAAACCAAAATGTGTTACTCTTTATAATATATATATATAGAAATATGTATGTTTTAATAATATCAACATACTCTAATGAGTCATAAAAATGTTAGGAAAACAATTTAAAATATTTTTCAATAACAACCTCTTACATATAAAGATACTCAATTACAATTTTCTTCTTTTCCCTAAGTGCTTAAATTTTAAGAAGGATATAATGTGTAGAATACCACAGCAAGAAATAAGCCAAAAACTATAGATTTAAATCAGAAAAAAATGAAAAAAAAAAAAAAAAAGGAAAAGAAAAAGGCTCACTAACCTTTTGCGTTTTGTTTTGAATGTAGAAAATTTTTAAATCTTTTCTCAGCTAATTTGTTAGGTTTTCTATCTAGTCGAGCCCAAAGGTATGGCTGACCTAAAAAAATGATATTAATAATAAAAGGGAAAAGTATAAGAGGCAAACAATAAAACTTATCTTGGAAGACATTTCAGTATAAAGTTTTTCAATAAACAGTAGGGTGACCTTCCCTAAAAGCAGCAATCCTAGATAACAAAGGTAAATATGTATTCTAACAGACACCGTATGTAATGTATTCTTACCAGCAGTACCTGATGTAGTAAGACTGAAGTCTTTGGTTGAAGAATGGTAAACCTGAGATAAAAGTAAATATGTAACCCTGTCATAAGGACATTCCACTGCCATATTTTATTAGCACCTAGAATTTGTGAGCAAGCTACCTCTATACTAAATGGAAACATATCCAGATTATCATATTCACACTTTTCCTGAAACGTAACTGTGTGCTGTAAGGGTTAGTTCCCAAAAATCTGTAATTAGGCTGAGCTGTTTTGCATGGCTCTGATCCCTGGTCAAGGCATGAAACAGTGATTATTAGTGATTTGTAATCATGGACCTAAGAAGTTTCAGGCAGTGTGCCTGCATTCTTTACTTACAGCAGTGAGACTAATGAGTCTTCTACCTGGTTTTAGTAAGACTCCTGGAGGGCTCTGCGGTTGAGGCTGGTTACTTAGCAGGAAGATGCCTCTGTGACCAGCAGAATGTAAAATTCCTCAGCTGAGGGGTGCCTGAGTGGCTCAGTCAGTTAACCAACCATACAATTCTTGATTTCAGCTCAGGTCATGATCTCAGTTTAAGCCCCACTTCAGGCTCTGCACTGACAGTGTGGAGCCTGCTTAGGATTCTCTCTCCCTTCTCTCTGCCTTTCTCTCTCAAAATAAATAATTAAAAACAATAAAAATCCCCAGCTGAAACTCCATTTTGGATTCCATTACCAAAGTGTGTTTTCTTCATACATCAGTGGTTCCTGATTTGAGAAAGTGTGTCCCATTAGGACCTTGGGGGCTGGGAGCAATGGAGAGGGGGGTCGGTGGGGAGGGTACCAATAGGTACTTTCACCTGGTCTTCCCAGACCCTTTGCTGTGATGTACATCCTTACTTTTCATGCCCTTGATGCTGTGTACCCTTTACCTGCAATAAACTGAGGATTTGCAATCACTGTCATTTGGGGTCCTGTCCTGTAAGTTTTCTTTAATAATCCATTCATGCTTAACTGCCACTATTATACATCATACATAATGATGCATATTTAACTTTTTTAATGTAAATATGAAAGCTTGAAAAATCTTTTAGTTTCTTCAAATATACTTTGAAATTACTGATTATAGTTTGTTTCAGACATTACATATTACCTATTAACTATCCCAGTAAATAATATGAAGAACCAGGTTAAAATTATATTGTCATTTCTGGTTGAACGGACCTTTTGTCCTTTTTACTACTAAATATAAAAAACTCATTTCACTCATACCCATTAAAATGGCTACTACTACCAAACAAACATTTGTGTTGGTGAGGATGTGGAGAAACTGCAACCCTTGTGCACTGTGGATAGGAACATAAATCATGCAGCTACTATGGAAAACAGTACGGCAGTTCCTCAAAGAATTAAAAACAGAATTACTATATGAGCTAGCAATTCCACTTCTTTGAATATAGCCCCAAAAGAATTGAAAGCAGGTCTCAAGGAGATATTTGCCCACCATGTTCACAGCAGCATTGTTTATAACAGCTAAAATGTGAAAGCAGCCCAAGTGTACAATGAGGGATGAATGCCACATACGTGAAACTATGTGGCACACACACAAAATTATGTGGTATATACAAACATAATGTAGTATATACACACAGCGAAATGTTACTCAGCCTTAACAAGGAAGGGAATTCTGACAGGAATTACACCGCGGATGAACACTGAAATCAGCTTGTCAAAAAAAGACAAATACTGTTATGATTCCAGATGTATGAGGTATCTAGAACAGTCAAAACCATAGAGACAAAGTAGAATGGTGGTTGTCAAGGACTAGATGAGGAGGAACGGTGAATTATTTAATGGGTACTGAGTTTCAATTTTGCAAGATGAAGAGTTCCGCAGATAGATGGTGGTGAGAGTAGCATAACGATGAACTGTACACTTAAAATGGTTAAGACAGTAAATTGTGTTATGTGTATTTTAATCACAATTAAAAATGGAAAAATATGCACTTCAGAAAAGATTTCCTGATAACAGGAATGTGTCTAGTTTACATTTAACTGTTCTGTTTCTCTTGCTGGAATTAAGAGGTCATTTCACTATCCTCAGGAAATCACAAAGATCATTTCTCCTTTCAATGCATTTTTTTTCCTTAACTGACAATTTCTATTTTAGTTTCTAGCTCTTAAAAGGCATTAAATTGAAATCAATTAGATATTGTCAATAGTAATAAAAACTAAGGAGTTGGCAGCAGAATCAGTGGCATAAGAACAAGGTTTAGGATTAAACATAGGTTCCACCACCTATTCAGTCATTCATTAATTATATGGTCTTGGACAAATTATTTAAGTTCTCTGAAGATCGGTTTCCGTATCTGTGAAATGGAGAGGCTACTGTGCAAATTAGAGATAACATGTATAAAGCATTTATCACATTGTCTGCCTTTAATGAGTATTAAATGTTAATTACCTTTTCCTCCCTCAAGAGAAAGATAAGTGTAACATTTGTGACTTTATTATTGTGCTATTAGAGTGCAAAGGGTTTATGAAGGGTAAATGCCCCATTTCAGATATATATAGTTTGTAAAGTGATTAAAGATATTTGTAGGGGTGCGTGGGTGGCGTGGTCAGTTAAGCGTCCAACTTTGGCTCAGGTCACAATCTCGCGTTTCGTGGGTTTGAGCCCCTCATCGGGCTTAGGGCCCGGAACCTGCTTCGGATTCTGTGTCTCCCTCTCTCTTTGCCCCTCCCCTACTCGCACTGTCTGTCTCTCTCAAAAACAAACATTAATAATAATAATAATAATAATAATAATAATATTTGTAGTAGTTTTATTTTACCTTTATAGTTAGTAATATAACAACATGTTCCATCCACTTTTTCTGTTGGAATTGCACTGTATATATCTGCATCTAATGCCTTGTGACTTATAGTTTCAGTTGCCAAAACCTTAAATGGCTTAAAAAAGAGAGAAAGAAAACTGGTTTAAGATCAACAGTCTCTACACCTTCACACATACTGCCACCTGAAATGTTCTTAATTTCACTATTTCTAAAGTGTAATCTCCTGCTTACCTTTCAAGACAATTTAAAAACATTTGTCCCATGAAATTCTCATGAATCACCCCTTCCTTTCTATCACAGCAATACCTGTTTTCCCACACAGATTTGCAATTACTCATGTTTCTTTATCCACCATAATGAACTGACACCAGGAACCGTGTCCTATGCAGCACTGTATCCCTAGCACAGACTGTTCCATCATCCACTTGACAACTTGACAATTATTTGCTAAATGCCTTCTATGGGTCAAGTAAGCATTGTCCTCCACACTAGGAAATATAGAGGTTAATAAAAAAAGAATACCTGCCTTTGGTAGAACTTTCATTTGAATGAGTGGGAAAAGTGTAACAGAATGTGTAATACAATGTCAAGTATAATTTATAATTGATGCTAAGAAGAAAAACAAATGGGACTCTTTCAGCTTTAGCAGTAGTAAATTGCAAAACTTACGGTTTTCCTACTGTCAGGAAGAGCCGCCAAGACCAACAAGAATGGAGGAAAAGACAGTTTCTGCGATTCCTACCAACTTTTTATCTGTAACTTATTTTTATTACTGAGAAAGACTTAAGCCACCATTTTACAGTACAAATTAACATTCAACTTTCATGTGAAACATACTGCACAATACTGGTGTGTACAGGTTTAAAACTAGTATGTGGAAGTACTATTTCAGAGTCAGGTAGACTTAGGAAATTAGCACCATTCTGTTCCTGACTCAGTACTTTCAAGATAAAACAATGATTGGGGATTTATCACTAACTTCTGCAATTAGTAGCAGACGATATCAATTTAACCTGTGGTAGCAGAAGAGAGGAGGTTTAGCCCAACAGCAATGTTTGTGTGTTTTCAAATTTACCAAGGATCCTACGGAGGAGATTACTCTGATGGAGCTCTTGATGAGTCCCCAAATATTCCTTCCATAAGAATCAATTTTCAACCACTCTTTGCTAGCAACATGTCCAAAAGACAATATAAGATACCAAAGGGTACACAAAGTTCCCCGTCTCATTGAAGTCTTTAAACTGTGACTGGAAAAACAAGGCATGTATGTTTAAAAAGTAATAGTAAATGTCAACTGAGTGATCCTCTACAACTTCTGGGTGGAAGAACTCACTGGGATAACTAAGATGATCAAAGATTTCAGAGAAGGTCTGATTCGAAAATCCTGAAAGTAATCCAGGCAAAGTGCACAGCCTGAGCAAAAATAGACAAGACTGTGCCCGGAGTGTTCACAGGATGAAACAGACTTTATTCAAATAGAGACTTCCCTTTAAGGAAGCAAGTCTGTCACAAACACACATGGCATTTTCTGCTGCACTGAGCCCAGGCACCTCATGGTAGGTCCAACAGGCACTTCAAGAGTAGAATGGACCTGACTAATGGGAAGCCTTGAATTACAGTTAAGGATTTGGATACTATGCTATAAATAATAGTGTAAGCTAATCTTAACTACAGAGGGACATGAACAGGGGCTTATTTTTCCGGGTGTAGGGTCCTTTTACAAACTACACGCCTCCACCCCCAACGTACAAAGTTGAGAATCACAGCTAGAGTGAATCACTACTTGGTTTGTTGTGACTAAAAAAATACAAGTTTGGCAACTACTGCTACAGACATTTACTAGTTAACTGCAGGATTTTGACTAGGGAAGACCCTAACAATGATCATTCTGGGTGGCAATAAAGAACGATTAGGCAGTGCCATAAACTGTGCATAAACTATTAAGAACTATAACAGCAATGGCACTAAAAAGGATATTATAAGGTAAAAAGTGTCAAGGTGAATGGAAAATTGGCACAAAAAGGTTCCAAGGTTCATTCTTTAATTCAACAAATATTCACCCAGTGCCTACTACACGTCAGGTCCTAAAAATTGGGACTAGAAACAACAAGGCAGTCTCAAAACAAGAACACATGTGCAAACGATGTAAAGGGGGGTGGGAGCCTATGCCAAATGCACATGATGAATTTTGTATGATAAGTTCAAAGTACTCAATATCTGGGGATTCTGCCATCAAGGACTTTCCTACATATTAAAGAATTACCCTGATACTGGCTACTAATCATTCACCCGTACTTACTAAGGTCCCTCGATGTGTAAAACCCAGTGCTGAGAGAAACATCCAGAGATGGGAACACTAGTTAGAATCAAGCAGGTAATTACTGGTAACAACACGTGAGATCTGATCTTTAGTGACCTAATTAGGCTAGTTGTCAACACCACCATCGTTCCTAGGTTAGAACTGGCAAAGCAAGTCTTCTACAATCTCCACTTTGTCACCACATTCTTGAAAGTAGAAAGTTTGGACTGCGGTGATTATGCGAATCTTAAAGGGTCTTCCCCAAAAAGGTGGTAACCTGAGAAAAGGGACACTATTTAAGATGTGGGCTTTCAATTTCCATGAGACGGCAAGTTTGAATCGCCTCATCAGAAAACTTCTCTCGTAGATTCCCTCCCTTGCAACTAACAAGGTACGAGAACCTGGAGCTCGGGAAATAGAGACCCGTATCCCAGACCTCCCCAGCGAAAACTGCAAAAAAGCTCCGGACCTGCAGGGCGGCTCTACAGCGCCCGGCAGCCCCTGCGCGGCCGCTCCACGGGGCCGCACACCTCGGTACCTGATGCTCCCTTTTGGTGGAGGGCTCCTCTTTCACCTCCGTCACAAACACACATGGCATTTTCCGCTGCACCGAACCTAGGCGCCTCATGGTAGGCCCAAAAGACAGTGCGAATGCTGAGCTCGTTTCCAAATCAGCACCCCGGCCAGGAAAGCGTCCCCTGCAAAACGCCGCCGTGCTCAAGCCACGCACACTGCGCGCACAAGCACGGCGGCAACGCCCCCACGTCCCCCAACACCAAGCGTGGGGCGGAGACGCACGCGTAGAAGCGGCCACCTGACCGCGGCGCCTTCTGGGAGTTGTAGTTTGGAACCCAAAGTACCTCCGTATGCACTCCCGCGAGCATTGGTCCGGTGTTACCATGACCGAGATCCGTTTTCTGTGTTGTGTGTACTTAACCACACTGATGATAACTGATGTAACTGATGATATTTATGAAAATTAAATGATATCAAGTTATAAGTAAAGAATCATTTCAGATGGCGATTTAACACCATTCTGGTGAAAGCTAATTGCTTGTTTTCTTTAATAAGTTCCTCATTGAAGCATTATAGAAGTTTAGAAATATCCGGAGACATTTCAAGTCCTAATGGAAACAGATTTCCCAAGAGGAGTGCTAGAAAACGCTACAATTAAAACACCTGGGAACCCACCCCTCATAGTAATACAGTTTGGATTACGCCTCATTGTGCAGCATAGTATGGTCGAAATTGGTTCTGATGTTCTTTCCTGAATGCAAAGTTTAGCATTAGACTAATCCAAAACCCGATTTCATTCTCAATTTTTTTCATAGGAATCTCATTTATCTTCAGTATGAGCTCCAAAAGAATCCAAATGGCTTGAGTTGTTGGGAGTCAGTCAGCTGCAGAGCTAAAAACAGCTTTATTTGACTTAGTGCTTAAAAAAATATTGGAGGGTAAGTGATAAATTAATGATTGAATAAAATATTAAATATTTAGTAATAGTAGCCTCTCTGTCTTGTTGAGGCTAGTAGTCTTTACCAGTGAAGTTTTGACTACTGCCATTTTTATTTGCTTGGACAAGACCCACGTCTCATTTCTATAATTGTGTTATCGGCAAGAACCGTAGAGTCCAGCATTTTCCTGACTTAGCCCTTGGAAAAAATATCTATATTATAAAAGAGGGTTTCCAAAGAATAAAATATCCACCCCCACCCCCCAAAAAAGCGCTATTTTTTTTATTACTGGATTCACAGAGGAAGAGAAAAGAGATTTGCCATTTCAAAGTATTTACTTCCTCTTCTATCTTTTTCTCCTAGGAAAACACAAAATGGCCAAATATATATAAGGGACAGGGGCGAATAGAACACCTGATGCTGGCTGTGAGCTATTGGGACCAGACACTTAGTATTGTATAGTTAAGCACCAGTGATTTTCTGTTCTTCCAGAGGAATCCTAACAAGCAGCTTGTTTCATGGGTCTCAAGGGAACAACAATTAAATAACCCTCACAACTATCAACTGCCATTTCCCAAACTGCCACAGAATCTTCTAGATCCAACATTATGTCATTTCTGAGAGGGATCATCTTCTAAAACATTCTACTTGCTGTTTGAATAGTGGCAGCAAGGCTAACCATTCCTCAGGAAACACTCTATTTCCACTGCTTTGATTTTATCAGTGCTTGGAGCAAAGCCTTTGGCTGAGACAGAGGAGCCCAGGTTAGGGGAGAGACACAGTTCCAATTCACAGTTACAAATGGGGCTCCTATTCTAATGGGTAGCAGCCAACAGCTTTGCCTGATTCTCATAAACCTGAAGAGGCAGCAAGGAGTTACTACCAGCCCCTGTACTTAGAGTGGTATTATTGGATCACAAACTGAAAGAAAGACTTTCTTCTCTGACTGATGTGTTAGTGTTCTAGCAAGCACCAAAGATGAAAGACACTCAATGTGAGTCTACCTTGGCCAACACAAAATACTTACAGGATTTTCAGGCCTACTCCCAGTGGTGGAGACAAATTTCCCATCACTCTTCATTACAGGGAGTAAAAATCCTCTTGAGTATGGTCACAGCTTTTCCTGAAAGACTAGAGTGAATTTCACATCAGGAAAGAAGTGAATAAGGGGTAAAAAAAAGAAAAGAAAAGAAAAGAAAAGAAAAGAGAGTTTTGTTTAAAAAAAAAAAAAAGAAGAAATTAAAGCTCCATGCCAAAGACTACCAAAATATACACATCTATTTACTGTTCTTTGCAATAACAAAACAAAAATTCCCATCATGGTTTGACCTGTTTTTGCTGTGTCTAATGGAAATGTAATTGTCCCCAACAAACTCTAAAAGGTAAAAACCTTTTTTTTTTTATCCTTTCCCCTATGTTAACAGTGATGTTGCATGTAATCATGCAATAATGGTGTTTGGTAACAGTATTTGGAAATAATCCATGCAGCTAAAAGCCCATAAGCAGAGAGAGAATTTATCTGGAGGAAAAGACCACTGAAAGATATTTCTTAGAGATGCTGCTCTCAGTAATTTAGGTGCTTAAAATGAATACTTTGTTGTTCTAGAGTTAGAAAATAGAGCAAAACAGAAAGCAAGATATTAAGGTTTTTTTTAAATATGTATCTTTGCTAATATTTTCAAGGGTTTAGCCAAGTCTTTATTCTCTACTTCTTCACTTAAATACTACCCATTTATTTTTACTTTTTCTCTTATTTACAGTTATAGGCACACAACTCTTTTCTAAATTTTAGTTTATTTTATTTCTTAGATTTTACCTTAAAGTATTAGATTCAGAGAGTTCATACCAATTAGTCTGTTTTACTTAACGAAAATGGGAATCCATATAGCTTTATCTTATTAATTTCCAATTCAAAGTTCCTTACATTTTAAAAATGCATTTTGATCTACTAAACTGTCATCTCTATGGCATCTTCTACATCACCTACTATGAATGATTTTATTAAATTTTGCTACGTTTTAGTTCTTTTAGTAAAAAAACTAAGATGAAGAAAGACCTCTAACTGCTGATTTAAATGTCTCATTCTGGGAATCAGAGTACTTCACCTTGTCTTCAACAAATTCTCAAAATTTACAGACACTCTGGAACCGTTCTGCTATAGGAAGAAGTTATTCCTCCTTTTATGATGGATGAAAAATGAATGAATATAGCTACAAGATGAATAAATAGTCCAGCTTATTTCCAGGTACCTATTAAAATAACACAATCTGAATGATTTTTTCCCAATTCATTGGATAGCAGTAAGTATATATTTAAATAATTTTATTATCTTGGAGTATAGATAGTATATTTACATATTTTAAAAATGTGGTTTTTTTCTAAACCATATATAGAAATGAGAATTTAGAAAACAGCTATTTACTTGTGAAATACTTAATATTTTTGACTATGAAATTAGGAACTAGTTTAAGTCCCATATTCAATCAGAACATTAAAAGACAAATATTTTATTTTTACTAGCCTATTTGGTTAATATACTAGAATTGAGAAAGAAAGACCATACAGAATTCACTAAGATAGGCTGGCCTGCAGTTACGCGTGAGGTCAGTTATGATGAGCAAACAATGGATTAGGTAACAATGAGGAAAATTCTAGAAGTTTCAGTTTGTGTGCTTACTAGCAACCACATTCAACATTTCTGCAAAGCTAGAGAAGGTATCTTCTAATTTAAATTTCTTTAAGAATTATCTATTGTGTAATATACTGTCAACAGGAGGTCAGTTTTAAAGGAATACTACTGATAGCCTGAAAGACTGTGGAAAAGAAATTTTCCCCCCTTACACACTGATAGTTCTCATATTTGCATTCCTGCAATTCTTATATTAAAAAACATTGGATTAGCAGCAAGAGAGTTGAAAATGGCAGAAGTTGGGAATGACTGCTATTTCTTTTTTAATTCAACATGCATAAAGGTAAATATTGTACAACTTATGGTACTTCACATGCTTAAGCTTTTTAGTAGAATGAAGGAAGATAAGGCAATAATTTGTATTGCTGAGTCAAAATTTATTATTTTCCTGTAAAATATTATACATATTTTCAATCTGAAATAAAAGCTTATCATGTATTTTTGACATATTGAATTTCTCTAAGGAAATTAAAATTATTATTTGTTTACAATTGTTAAATGCCTATGGATTTTTTGTCTTCATGTCTCGTTTTGCCTATATAATGGCTCGTTGAGACATCAGATTTTTAATACTGAAACATATTGAAACATTGTATGATACATCATATTGTTATGGTTAGTGTGATTCCAATCATATAAATTCAAAAAGTTAAATTCACCTTACTATCAAACTTAGTTTAATAAATCTAATTGATTTCTCATTTGAAATTTATTAACCCAATTACTGAATTTTTCCCTGTTGACATTTAACAGCAAATATATGATAACGTGGAAAAAGGAAAAGAAGTAATATAAACAAATTAGCTAAATATGAATTCAAGTTTTTAAGGCTAAAGGGGAAAAATATTTAAGAGATTAGAATTAATGGATCTCACTGAAACCAAATAAATGTAGAAACTTGGAGCTTCATGTTCATGCCAAAATGAAAGACACAATGAATGTGATTTAAAGTGTTTCATCTCTGCTAGGAAAACTGAATGGGTTCAACCTCTTTGACCATAAGAATTAAATCCACTTCAATTGCCTGTCCCCTTATAATTAAACATAGAGATGATAAATAATAATAGAATTTCTATTCCATATGTGCAGAGTTTTGTCTATTTTACTGCTGTATCCTCAATAACTTAGCACAGTAATTTATGGGTGGTAAATTCTTACTAAATAATTAAATTATTAAATAACAATAATAATAGCAACCACAATATCTTCCTCACATAATTTTTACAATCTGCGAAGAGGGCATTTTATTCTTTTCATACAGATAAGGAAACTGAGGCACAGAAAGGATGAGTAATGTATAAACTTTGTAACTATGGACAAGTAATGGAACCAAGAGTTCAAATACTGGTTTATCTAGCCCCTGTCCACTATCCTATACTACGAGATCCACAAATCCACTTTTAAAAAGGGGAAATAGTGAAGACAGGAGTAAGAGGGTAATAAAAGATAAGAAAAAAACATATATATATGTATATATTCCATATATGGAATATTTTTGTTGTATGTGACATACCTCTCTGTCAAGAAGATAATGGCCTGAAGTTTTTCCAACTGTGGACCTATGTGTAAAAGATGCAGACTAAAAAAAAAAAAAAAAAAAAAAGCAATAGCATCCCATTAAAATGATCCACATTTGCTTTTGTTGATATATAAAGATGTTTATATATGTATTGGCACAATTGTTTATCTCTGTAGACCAAGGGCATAAAGCACAGAGATTTACTGTAGCATAATGTGGTAATTCCCTAAAATTCCACAATAATATAAAGTTTAAGCTCCATTCACTTCCCCTGTAGAAACACACTTAACAATATCTCCATAGACTAAGAAAACATTATCTAATAAAGGGATTGATTAATGGAGATCATCTTCACAGTTAGAATATGACTAGCGTTTCTTAAAAACAAGACAAACAAAGAACTGGCTTTTTCCAGAAAGAGAAATTAAATTGTTCTGTCATTGGATTGTGATTAAAACTATCACTGCTCTTATATATCTATTCTTAGTGAATCATATGGACTAACAGAGAACAAAATGTAGCAATTTATCAGTGACTTGTGGCATGTTGTACTATTTAATCGTTATATTATCAGTCTCTCACTAAAATTAAACACATTTGCTAAAATTTAGACCTATGACTTTGTTTTGTAGTATTTTTTGTGATTCTAATTTGATCTAGTCATATTTTCTTTAATTAATTAGCAACCTACTGTTGTTGAACACTAACGCCAGTATGTTGAGTTTGCTATACTGTTTACTTGTTTCTTTTAGGGTTCCCAGTGCCGATTCCGACACTGTGAAGAGGCCCTTGGCAGTGACACTGTGTGCTCATTATGGAGAGAGGGAAAATGTTTAGATCCACTTTGCAGATTTAGACACATGGAAATGCAGGTAGATTTACGCACCATCATCATGTTTATTAAAAGGATCTCCCTTCAATAATATTGAAATGTACACTCTTACAACACAATAGAGAAAAAATGATTCTTTCTTCCACTACTTAATTTTAGGCACTTTGCATGTTGCTCAATTTAAATTCTTATAAAAATGGAGGACTATATTTTATAAATATCCACTGCATCTTTTAAATAGCAGAGTTTAGAAACACTGAAAGCCAGAAAACACACATGATCCTAAATCAGTAATCGTGATAGTTTTGTCACATGTAGCACGTTGTATTTATTTTGAGTATGGCACCTGATCATTAAATTTCCCCCACCTCCTTTGTCTAGCAAAACTGCAGCATTTCATGCTTCTGGGAAACTCAACCTCTTGGTTGTGTGCGGATCAGTTGTATCTTTTATCACAGCAAACCTCGAAATATCAATGGATTATTTTTGCCACCAAGTAGCAGTGAGTATATTTTTTTAATAACATGGACATATACCATATTATAATCTGGTTTTGGATTAGCAGTGTAGAATGACAGATTAAATTAAGTATGGCAAATGAATGTGATTTAATAGCCAATGGATAATTTGGGATGACTCTAGAATCGTGAGATTAGGCTTAGAACGAACCATCAAGTAACTGCCAAGATGAAGTGAACAAAGAGCAAGTTAAACTTTCTCGGTGCACAGCTAAAGTGGACTGGATTCACCTGAAAGTGAAATGACTACTGACCTCACTAGGCAGAAGGAAATTGTGTCTCAGCAAAGCATCTTTCAACTGGAGCCAAGCTTGGCTATCATGCCTCACTGTTGCTCCCTGTGAATGTGCAGAAACCTATCTTATAAGGGGGCATGCTCTGGGCTGCACACTTCAGCTTCTAAAAGAACAGCTGTACATGTGGTTCTTCTTAAGCTTCAGTTGTAGAGAAAACTCAATCTCATTGCTGCAAAAGCTGTGGCACAATTCAATCTACATAGATGATACTGAGACTGCTTTGTGGTGAATGTCAACATAAGCTCTGGGAAGGGGATACAGAGGACATGATACCCCAAAACAGTTAGTGGCAAGAAGCTTGCTTAAGGAGTTGGGATAGTCAGGTTTCCCTAGTGCTATAGCTCTACACCAGTCTCCTGCTATGGCCAATGGAATCATTTTAGAAATGAGCTTATAGGTTATCAGTCCTTTAGGATTTGAAAAATTGGCTTCAGATAATCCTTGGTAAATGGTAAAAATTAGGTCCTCTACCTTCTTTTGGAAAACTCTGACCTCATGGCATTCATCATATATACAATACCTTGATCAACAATTCTCTTTCTGGGGCGCCTGGGTGGCTCAGTCGGTTGCGCATCCGACTTCAGCTCAGGTCACGATCTCACGGTCCGTGAGTTCGAGCCCCGCGTCGGGCTCTGGGCTGATGGCTCAGAGTCTGGAGCCTGCTTCCGATTCTGTGTCTCCCTCTCTCTCTGCCCCTCCCCCGTTCATGCTCTGTCTCTGTCTCAAAAATAAATAAACGTTAAAAAAATTAAAAAAAAAAAACAATTCTCTTCCTCACTAGACTGCAAACATCATAAGGATGGAGATCATAACTAGTTTCCTCACCAGTGCTCTCTGCAGTGTCTGGAGCACAGATATTCAGTAAAATTGGATGTATAGATAGATGGATGGGGGATGGAAAAATGACTGGAAACTACTGGGTACCTACTGTAGTGAAAGTTATTGTACCTACTAAGTGATCAACTTCGCTTCATTGGTTTACACAGAGTATGATTTTATTTCACCAGGAATGTCGTACTAAATTCCTTCTACATAGTTAATACTCTGCTTCTTAGTGGTCTATGATAAAATTACTATTTTTCAAACCAGTTCTTTCAGGACTAGAGGAAAACAGACTGCGTCTCTGTACAAAAGAAGGGTACAACTGACAGTTATTGGGCTCCTCATTGTTAGAACTGCCCTGAGCTAAATTCTGTAGGGATTACATGTTTTTTACTCTAATTTTTAGACATAGAATCTGGTGGCTAAAGGTAACTTCTGGCTTTTCTGGAAGTCTTAATTTCTTCAACAGGTATCAAGACTGAGTCTGACTCTTAGAGTAAGTTTTCCTCTCTCTCAATAGAATCAAGACCAGATCCATGCACTGGGACCAAAGCCTAGACATTATACCTTCATTGTAAGAGGGATAAGTGAGTTTCATAGGCTGCTAATACCCTGCTTTCTCATACCTCCTTCCTCTATAGGCACAAGAGGGAGCCCCATACACCCATAACACCCTCCCACACACCCTCAACACACAACCCTTATCTGTTTTGAATTCACCAGGACCAATTTCATTCTGCCCTTTATTTCCATTTATCTGAGTTTATTTTTGAACAATAAAACACTCCTGTGTGTTTATTATTTGGTCTCATACCACTACTATACAACACTTTAGATGTTGTGGATTTTTCCCACATCAATGATTTTTTTCCACGCAACACTCTACACCACCATCTGGTGTCCTACAATTCAGTTCTAACACTACTAGGAGTTAACACAGAGCCCATGGGTTGAGGGCTCCCAAAAGACTCCCCCACCCAAAACACTACTTCAGATGTCAATCAAAAGTAGTAGATCCCCAGGCTACTCAAACTCCTAACTGGGCTACAAATTGGAGGTTTCCATGATCTCCCTCCTCAGCTTCCATCATCTGCTAGAATGGTTCACAGAACTCAGGGAGCTAATTACTTGTGTTGACCAGTTTATTTTATACTATAGGAAATCATAAAGGATACAGATGAACAGTCAGATGAAGAAGTACATAGAGTGAGGTCTGGAAGGATCCAGAGCACAGGAACTTCTATTGTGGAATTGGGGTGTGCTGTCCATATGCAGATGTGTTCACCAATTTGGAAGCTCTTCTAATCCCATATTTTTGGAATTTTTGTGGAGGCTTTTATTGTGCAGACATGATTATTAACTCACTTTCCAGCCCCTCTCCCATAGGGAGAGGATGGGGAGGAGAGGGCTGAAAGTTATAAGCCTCTAATTATGGCTTGATCTTTCTGGTGACAACTCCCCTTCCTGAAGGTATTAGGAGCCCACCCAGAGTCATCTCTTTAGAGCAAAGGACTCTCCTATCACCCAGGAAATTTCTGAGATTTGAGTTCTATGTCAGGAAGCAGTGTCAAAAGCCAAATATTAGAACAAAAGATGCTCCCCCCATACTGTTATTATTTATGAAATTACAAGGATTTTAGGAGCTCTGTTTCAGGAACTGGGTATAGAGACCAATATATATGTTTTCTATTATTTAATATCAGTGAATACCAGAAAGCCCATCTCTCAATTGACTCATGTCTATCCTTATTTGGTCCCTTGCATCCATGCGTCCCCAACTTTCCATTATCAGCAGGATTCTTCCTCAACTTCCTCTCTGAACTTTCCCTTCATCTTCATATCTAACATAAGCATAATTTTCTTCTCCAGACCCTACTTCTCCTGCAGCACTTTGCCAAATGGTGGCTGTTTTTTTTCTCCCAGCTCTCAAGTAGCATTTGACCTGGAGGTGAGGTAGAAGGTTTCCTTGGTCCTTACTGCCAACTTCAAACTGCTCTCTGTCACTTCTCCCTAAAGCCATCCAGCTTGTATTTCATGCCAACAGATTATTAACAGCCAACAGTGTTGCTGGTTTGTTGTTGTTGTTGTTGTTGTTGTTGTTGTTGTTTTTGCCTCTGTTTACATCTATCCAGGTCTCTCCTTGGTTTTCAGAAGTCTGAACTCCTGGCTCATTGTCCTAACACTGTACTCCTGTGTCAATTCTTGGTGATTTCAATATATAAAAATATGATATGCACATCACCCTAGCCTCTCAGTTCCTTGAATTCAATTCCTCCACTGATCTTTTCTTCCCCATCTCAGTCACTCTCTCTTAGTCATAACCAAATGCTAATTACCACCACAGACCCCATGATCTCGATTACATGCATTTCACCCTATGACTTGTTTTCTATTTCAGTCCTTCCAGAATCTTGAGGTAAACAATGCTTCAAGTCCACTGGGAACTTCAATTCATTGTTTGTACCATATTTTCACAATCCCTTACCCCCCGGATATCTTCTCGAACCTCAATCTAGTAATCTGTCCCTTGCATACAACTTCTACTCTCTTGCTACTTTCTGCCTTCACTGTACTTGCTTAGCAACCATAAACACAACTTGCCACCTACTCAGTTCCTGAATCTATCACAGCTGAACATAGCTTTGGTAAAATATGTAGGTGTGCTTATTGAATTAAATTCATGACCACAGACCTCAAATGAGACCTTAATGCTGACTGCCAATCATACTACACAATACTTCCCCATTTCTTCTACATTCTCCTAGACCTTCGTTTCATACCTTCCTCCTTCCTTAAACCTCCTATCCCCCCACCCACCTTAGGTGATGACCTTACATCTGACTGAACTGAGAAACTTTAAGTAATGAGAATAGCCTCCACAGATTTCCATCACTATACTCATCTATTAGAATGTGTACTTGCCTTTTCCCTACTCTTACCAAAGATCAGCGCTTAGTCAAAGGCTAGCTTTCCATTTATTAACTACATCTTATCCACTCTGGTCTACTCAAGAACACTGATGCAACAAGTCTTTCCTCTGTCTTCTATATCATTTTTTTTTTCATTTTTATTGGATCATTCCTATCAGCATACAAGTATATATTTATTTCTCTAATTATTAGAAAAAATACTCCATTCTCTTGATTCATTCTCTCACAAGCTACAACCCCATATTTTTCTTTCCCTTTGTAGCAGATCTCCTCAAAACGGTTATCTATTCCTGCTTTTATCAGATCCTCCTCTCCCATTGTCTCTTAATCCTGTGTAAAAAAAGGCTTTTCAGCCCCTTTCACCAGTGTTACACAAATTGTTAAAACCAGTGGTCAATTCTCAGTCTTTACATAACTTGAACCATTAGCAATATTTGATGCGATGCTATACTTAAAAAAATTTTTTTTCTAACGCTTGTGTACCTAGTGCTCTATTTTCACTCTCCCTTGTTGATTTTTCCTCAACTTCTTAAATGTGGAATGTTCTAGGAGATAGTCCTTAGTTCTCTTTTCTGTCTATTCCCTTGGTAATCTCATATCTCACATCCAATCCATACAAAAATCCTGTTTACTTTCTTAATATATCCAGAGTCTGCCTTTTCTCATCATTCCTGCTACTCCCACCGTGGGCCATGCCACTACCATCATCTGATGCCTGAATTATCGCAACAGCCTCTTAACTCTTCAACTCTTGTCCTTCTATGTCTGTTCTAAGCACAGGTGCCAGAGTGATACGCTCAGATGTCATACTTCCAGTGGCTTTTCATTTAATTCAGAGTAAAAGCAGAGTCCTTAACAGAGGCTTACATGACCCTAGTTGATTTGATGCCCTGTTGACTCTGAATTTATCTTACATAACTCTTTTACTTGCTCACT